CTCCTCCGCCCTCTAGAGATGGCCCAACTGTCGTGCACACATGTAGAACGTCTCCTTCATGCATCACAAGCAATCACACTGTCCACAGCTGTGCCCACTGGCTTGACCTGCCTGTTTCAGTTTCAAACCAGAGTACTTCTGTCCTGGACTGGACAGCGACTGCTGTCCATTGCTAGGTTGTGTCACAGCTAGATCCATCAGTATATCCAGAGTCAGCCAGAGGTCCCTCTTTCCCTTTTGCGTAGGGACTAGGGATCGTGTCCTGCAGCCCATCCTCCCAGATGGGTTCCTGGGCGGTGTACATCATGGGTCCCCAAATCATAGCCCATTCAGCTGCCAAAGGGCTAGTTGAAAAGAAGGCCCACTGTTGAAGGTACATCCCCAACATGTGAGAGTGGAAGCCTGTGCCACCCCACTCCTGGGATGAGCTCTTTAAGTCTGTACCCAACCCTCTATTGGGTATTCTGTCTGTACTTTTATTATCTGTTGTCCTGTGATCCCTCACAGGCATGTAGAGCAGTGTACAGCACTGCTATTTTTCAATCAGGGAGTACTGGCTCTCAGCTCCCTTCCTCAACTGACCAAAATCCAACAGGGTGCTTCTGCTGCCCCTGTTTTTGCCATAGGCCTCAGCCAAATCCATTGTCATCCACACTGATGGTTAGGATAAATGGCAGGGGAGGGTCAAAGACTTGTACGGCTTACACCTGTGCAACAGTCCTCTTTGAGTCCTAAAAATCAGCTTCCGCTGCATCTATCCAGTAAGCAGCTTCCACTGTGTCAGTCAGCCCTGTGTTGTACCCCTTTTGGTCATCTGGTATAAAGAGCACAGCAAAGTAGTTAGGTGCAATACTTGCACCAAAAACCTAGCAAGCCAACACATGCCTGCTTTTGATGAGCCAGCCAGCTTAGCATGCAAAACCAGGGGGTTTTCCCAGGAATTTTCTCAGCCATGAGCACTTATGCTTCTGGAGACGTTTCTGGAGGAGGCAGTGCTTCCCACACCTTGCAACATGAGCTCTGCAGCAGCCAGTCATTGCTCAAGGTCCTCCTCTCTCTGCTGCAGCTGGTCTACTTATTGGACAAGGCCAGTGGCCTCTTGATTTATGCAGCAGAAGAGAGTGAAGAACAGCCAAGGCACCTGCCCCACCGTTTAACAATGAGGGGGAGGAATTTGTCTGTTTATCACTTCTAAGGCTTGCAAGACATCCTTAGGCTCCAAAAAGACTGTTTCCCAGTCCTTCAGGGTCTTCCAAGCTGCCAAGAAGGTGGCTACAGGTAGTCAGGGTGATGCTGGGAGTCACTTATCAGCCATTCTATAGGGCTCTCTCTTGCCTTCAGGCACTGTTTCCACAGCTGCGACAAGACCACTTCCCTCAGTGTCCTGACAACTACACCAGTTGCTGGCCAGCTCAGGGGGGCCTAAGGGAGATATTCTTGGGTAAGGTCCCAAGGTTAAAGAACACACATGTGCAAGACATCAGCAATAACAACAGGCAACATGAAGCAGAGCAGAGCACAAGAGTGCAAAAGTCTCCTACATCTTTATTGTATACTTCTTACACAAGTTGTTATCTCATATTTACATTCTTACATAGTGCTGTAACCACCGCATGCATGTTTACCTGTGCTAAGTCGTGGTTACATAACAGTATCCCACTGTGCACCTACACTAGACAAGCAAGGTCACATCCTCAGGTGTCCTTAGATGTCTCTGAGCTTTGAAGCAGTCTGAGTGGTTCCCCATACCTGCAGGTACACAGTGACTGCTGATCACACCAGAAGCCCCCACAGAGACACACAGCAGTGTGTGGACAGGCTGCGGCAGCAGTGGGTGAGTGCTGAGGGTTTAGACAACCTGTGGGAGAGGGCAATTGGCTGGGAGCCATCTTGTAGAGGGGCCAACTGAGCTCAGAACTCAGAATAACTGCTGGGTCCATTTAGATTTTGAAACCTCCTTGCATATAGCTTTTGACTCATAAAGGGAGAAGCTGCCTTTGGAGTCTCCCTGCATTCTTTTTCAGCAAAGTCTCCCTCCATTACTCCATCTATGCTGGAATCATAATGTTCAAATCCTAACCAGAGCCCCTTCCAACTGTGTGATCTAAGACAGTCTCTTTTCTTCTCATTTCTTCAACTGAAAGTAGAAATAACAGTGCCTAATTTGAGGGTGATATATTATCAACAATGTGCGTAGTACAGTGCTTGACACAGAGAAAAACTTGCTATTTATCAGCTACTTCCCTCTTATCCTAGCAACTTTTTTCCCTCACATCAAATCACTGACTTATTTTCATGAATGTATTGATATGGGAAAACATAGCTGACAACCTGTTTGATGTCTGACAGAGTTCGTGGTCTCAAAATGTTGGGGAATAAAAACCAAAGGAGAAAATTAGGAGAGTTTTATGAGAAATGAGCAGAATAGCTCCTGGATTTCCAGGAGGGGTCTTGAATGGGTACCTTCAGAGGCTATTTTTCAGTGGTAATTTATACAGCAAAGTCACAATATGGGTACAAGGTGGGTCAGATTACAATTAACCTACAGGATAACAGGTATAGTTGCTTAGCTAATATTGGTCCAACAGGGAAGCGAGTCATGTAGCAGGGTTACGGGGAAAGAGCAAAGGCATTCCTGGAAAGGGAGGGAGCACGGTCCAGCTGTTCTGATCACCCACCTATGCAGCTGATGCCCCCTCTGGGCTCACTGGGCTGGGTGGTGCTGATTATATTATAATCTCAAGCTGTGGTTCATCTCTAGAGAAGCTGCAGGCCTAGCTATTGAGACTCTGTTCAGATTTGCCTCCAGCCATAGTCCTGATATCTTTACTATTTTTGTGTTGACTTCCTTAATGGCCCAATCCCTCTCTGGCTGCATATTAATTTCTATCTAACTTGGCTGTCTATACTAATTTCACCTCATCATGTTATTCCACAACCCCAGGCTTTCAATATGAGACATAGCAGAGCAGTCTGATTAAGAGTTTGGATGAGGGCTCCTCAGCTTCCTTTCCTTATCACCCCCAAGCAAGTTTTTTAAACACTATAGGAGTATGACCTACCACTACAATGAAATTTTAATTCCATGGAAACGCTGTCTTTTGGGCTATATATTATACACAAAGCACAAGTGCCCTCTAATTTTTACCCCCTTAGAAGAGCATCAGTCCTTTGGAGTACACGGCAGAGATGAGCAACCCTGGGGCTGCAGTCATCTCCTGGCCCGCCACATATGAGCTATGTGGTGTCTGCCCTGTGGGATGGTGGGAGGGATGACGTAAGTTCATATGTGTGGGGGACTTGAAATGTTGCCCAATACACACACAGTGCTACACAATTATTTGCTGTGGTTTTCCCTGGAGCTCCCGGGGAAAAGAAATAGCGTGACAGAAATATCTAAGCCTGGGATTGAAGGTAGAATCGTGGTCTAACTACTCCTTCCCGTGCTGCTCCCCTTACTTCCACAAAGTGTTACTCAAACCAAGTCTCCAGTCCTTGCCTGCCTGTCCCCACCATGGTCACAGCCTTGCTCTTGCCCCTCAGTCAGGCCACCACGCCCTTCTCCTCTGCCCAACAGAAAGCAGGCTGCCACCTGCACGGCTGTCTCCACTGGAAAAGAAACAGGGTGTGCGCTGAGGGCAGCTCCAACAAGGGCTGTGCTGATGGGGCTTGGCAAAAAAGAGGGCTGGGGACAAGGTCTAAAGAATGAGGCTGCGCCAGGGTGAGAGCACTGAGAGCGGGTAGCCGGGCCCAGGAGCAGGGAGTTCCCCAGCAGAGCCGTAGACTCCTTGACAGAGGCTTGAGGAGGTAGGGAGGCAGTACAAAGGCAGCTGGGGCACTTCCTGTCTCTCTGAATGTGCCCAGAATGTAGGGACCCAGCCCTTTCTGACTTGGTCTGTTTCTGAGGGTCATCTGCTGAAAACATCCTTGAGGGATGAGAAACCATCTCCCTCAGGACTGAAAAGCAGGCTTGCTGAAGGGTGAAATCAAGTTCCCACAGCCAGGCTAGATGGGAAGGGAGGAGAGCCCGGCTCGTGGGTGGCCAGGAGATGGCGTTCAGAAGGAAGTGGAAGTGGTCTGAGGGAAATAAGAAGGGCTGTCACACAAGACCATGCTTAAAAGGCTCAGGATGAGGAGGCACTGGAGGTTTTGTGTTGGCACATGTGGGGCTTAGGAAGAGCTCTCTGGCTTCTGGGTAAAGAATGGTCAAGGAGGAATGGCAAAGGGAAAGACAGAAAGGCAGGAAGGACTTGCCTGGGCATGGGGAGCCACCAGGCCCCGGGGGAGATGACCTTTCCCAATGGAAGTCGCCAACATGTAGTGGACAAGAGTGGATGGGAAGAGAAGCAGAGTCTTGGCCAGACCCTGCAAGAAGCACGAGGAGGAAAGGAAGAGTTAAGACAAGGCCAGGGCCCAGGCAGCTGGCCACAGTGGGCCCCAGAGGGTGCTGGGGTGAGAGGACCAGCACCAAGGGAGGGCAGGAGAGTCTTAAAGCCAGATGGAAAGAAAGAAAGGGACCTGGAAGGGAACAGGTGTCAAGCTGTGCACGCATTCCTAGAGCTCAGGGTGCACACCCATCTCCTAGTATCTCACGCAGATGCAGTGCTGGCTCAGCAGGGCCAGGGTGGGGCATGCAGTGCCTCTGAGCATGCTGAGGAGCAGGACTGGGGCCCCTTATCCTTGCCCCAGTGCCAACCGAGGAGTACTGTGGGTGCTTTCTCCAGGCAGGAAAGCAGAGGCTCTGTGAGTTCCCCCAGCTTGCCTGAAGATGCCTCTTGTGCCATGCCACCCACAGGACCTGCACCTGGCTCTGCCCCCATGGGGGGCAAATGGCACAGCCCCCAACTCTTCTGCTCCCTCCAAGTGCACCCTGGGCTCCAGTCTTCCAGGATTCTGTTCAGATTCCTGTGGTCAGCTGGTCTCCAGCCTGGAGCTTACAAGCTTGTTTGCATCTAGAAATAGTCTACCTCACAGGAAACCAGACACTATTGGCTAATTTTGCAATAAAGTGCCCTCAGAGAGAAAGGGAAACACTTGTCACTGGTGGAGTCTGTGTGGGACGGGTGGCTGAGTGACAAATCCTGAGGTTCCGTTCCTGTCTGCCCCAGGTAGGTACAGAGACTGCTGGGTACCTGTGGGCGGGGTGGGGTGGGCCCAGCGGTTGGAGTAGGTAGTAATGTGGTTTGCTGCCTGTGCCCACACTGCAGACTACCTTCCTGAGAGTGGCACAGCCTAAACACATCCAAGGAACGTGGGAGTGGGACATAGTGGAGGATGAGACTCTACCCTCCTGACATGATGCGGCATTATTAGAACCCTTAGTAATTACATTTTAGGGACATGGGGAAAAGCTTGATTCGACAGGGACTAAAAAGAGCATGAGATAAACTTGCATCTTGTGGATAATGAAGAATTATTCTTTTTCTAAGATAAGAAATAGCATTAATGTTTTATGTAGGAGTCCTTAGCCTTTGGACACCCACGACTAAAAGTTTATGGGTAAAATTAAACGATCTGGTGGGGCCATGACTTGGGGAATACATGAAGTGTTGACCCTAATGGCTAATGGTTGAAACTGGGTGATGGAAACCAGAATATTCTCTCTACTTTTAAATGTGTTTGAAAATTTAATAATAAAGAGTACTTTGATAACATCTGCATTTTACTGTAAATATAAATGTATTTAATATAAATATAAAATATGTACAAAGTTTAAATACAAAAAAACTAAAAGATCACTGTGCTTCATGGTAGGATTTTGTGGGATTTTTTGAGCCATCTATAATCTTTTTTTTTGAGTCAGGATTTCACTATGTAGTACAGGCTGACCTTGAACTCACTATGTAGCCCAGGCGGCCCTCAAGCTCAGATAATAGTCCTGCCTCAGCCTCCAGAGTGCTGGGATTACAAGGGTGCACCAACACACCTGACTCTATCTACAATCTTCAAAAAGAGCACTTACTGCATTTACAATCAAAACTGTTTTAATTAATAAGCTGCTAGCTCTAATTCATTATTCAACTTTGATATATGCTGTTACAACTAATGTGAGGACACCAGGCTTGGAAAGCTTGTGCCATTGGGAAATGTAGCCTTTGGAAGAAATTCCAAGAGTAAGACAGGGAAATATTTTTAGAGGCCCTGGCTGCCCCTTGCTTTGCCTCAAGGCTATGGCGATCACAGCTGAGTCCTGTGGCGATCACAGCCTGAGTCCTGTGGCGATCACAGCCTGAGTCCTGTTGGCGATCACAGCCTGAGTCCTGGAGCCCTGCTTTGTGAGTTTACAGCTGCATTCAGGAAAAGGCAAGGGATTTTAGCATTCTCTTCCCATTTGCCAAAAAAGCCTTGGCTTAGCTTTACTTTGCTTTCTTTTCAAATACTTAAAGTGTAATACTTGAGGTAGAAAGAAACCAAGCCCAAAGGGAAGGAGAAGACTGAACCATGTGAAACGCCAGGAAACTTTCCTGCTCAGCACTTGTCGCGGGGTGCTGGAGCATCTGGAGAAGTGGCGGGGTGGGAAGTCCCCCTGGGTGCTGAGCCCCGTGTTTCAGTTACTGTTCTGTCATTGCTGAGACAAAATATCTGATGTCCAGAATTAAGGAAGGAAAGGTTTATTTAGCTTACACTTTGTGGAGGTTTCTCAGCAAAAAGGGAGGAGTGGCTGAGAGCAAGCTCTTTCTCTCCCTTTTTTTTTTTGGCGGGGGTGGGGGGCTGGTTTCCCAGTACCTGGGACTCATGACCTTGCACTTGTCGACCTTGCACTTGTCAGGCAGGTGCTGTGCCGCTGAGCTAAATCCCCAGCCCCTCCCTCCCTTATATTGTATGTAAACTACCTGTCCCAGGGCAAGTGTAGCACTCACATCCATAATCCCAGCGTTGGATCATAAACTCTAGAAGCCTGCCCCATGACTGCATGAGGCTTTGGGGAGACATCCAGACATAAACCATAACACTCCGGGACCACTATGGGGTTGGGGTATGGGCAATGACTAGGACTGAGGGCCTCTGGGAGAGAGGATGGCTCCCGGCGGCCAGAGTGGATCCCCATCTTTCTCCATTTTGCTCCGCTGTGCTCTCACTTAGGCACACAGGACAGAAAGTAGTCTCAGCTCAACTTCAGCCTGACTCTGTACGGCCCTCGGGCTGGCATGGCATTTGTCCTGGCCCTTGGGAAGGAGCACCTAGTCTACCCCAGCTGCAGGACAGTCTCCCCGAACTCTGCCCCCACTCTGCTCCTCTGCTGCCCCTGCTTCACAGAGCAGGTATGGGAGCCGCTCTCTTCAGAGCAAAGTCTTGGCTTCCCCTTGTGCCTGTGCTCAGCACTACACCTCGGGAAGCCTGCTTCCTCCTGTTACAATGCACATGGTCAGTGAGTCCTGCACTGGTATGTTGGTTGCTTTTCTCTCATTGCTGAGACAAAATACCTGACACCCAAAATTAAGGAAGGAAAGATTTATTTTGCTCACACTTTGTGGAGGTTTCAGTCCATACTCGGCTGGCTCCAAGGCAGAGTGGCACATGGCAGAGGGCAACAGTTCACGGTGGCAGGAAAATAGCAAAAGCAACAACAAAAGGGAAGAGCAGTGCAAGCAGCCTCTTTCCCTCCCTTACATTGTATGCAAACTACCTGCTCCAGGGCGGGTGTAGCACGCACATCCATAATCCCAGCATTGGACCATGGATCAATCATAAACTCTAGAAGGCCGCCCCATGACTACATGAGGCTTTGTGGGGACATCCAGACACAAACCATAACCGCCAGAAATGGGTACACATTGAATTCTGTTAAGGATCAGGAACGAGGTATATAAAGTCCCAAGCACACTCCTGGAGCTCAAAAAACAATACGAGGCTTGGAAAGTTTGGGTAACTTCACAACCCTGACTGCTTTCAAAGTAGACTATGAGAGATACAAAGTATTGGCACTGACCGGGTTCAGAACCATCTTCTATTCCCAGCCCCGCTGCCAGGAGGCAGCCCCTCCCCACCAGGGCTGCTGTGGAAGGGCAGCCAAGTCAGGCACGGCCTCCCCAGCCAGAGGCTGCAGCCTCAGAGAAGCTCCTTCCCCAGATGGAGGGCCTCCAGCTGCTCCTCCCCAGCCTTCCTTTGTTGCAGAGTCCTGAACCCGAAGATGTTCAGAACCAGTACCTGTGCAGGATGAGCTACTCAGGGAGGAGAACTCAGCTGCTCACAGCAGGTCACAGCCCCATGGAGCAGTAGACCTGGAATGGGAGAGTCCAGACCTTGGCTGACTTTTCTGAGGATGTGTTCTGCTTTCCAAGCACCTAGGAGTTCCGCAAGCCTGGACCCTTGTGTCACTCATGCTGCTTGGATAAGCCAGGTTGCAACTGAATCTTGGCGCTGATGCTCCTCTTGGCAGGAGGGAGAATTTCACTTTAGGCCAGCTACCCTGTTGGGGGAAATGTTTATTCTCTCTGGCCACAGTGGGTACTTCAGCCACTTTATCTTCTTATTTGGCTAAAGTGCAACTATTTTGGATGTGAGTCTTGGCAGAGGGGGAAATAATCTGTATTCCATCTCCTGAAGTATTTTCACTCTGCCTTTGTTTCTTACTTTAAGCCTATGTTTATTATGGAATATAGCACACTGAAAGGACAATATCAGAACAGTATCCAGGTTAATAGCTTATTAAAATTAATCTCCCACCTCATAACTATTCTTGCCAGAACCCCGAAGCCTCTCTCATGACACTGCCTAACAGCAGCCACTTTCCCTACAAGTAACTACTATCCTGACCTTTAGGATGACTGCATCCTCACTTTTCCATTTGACCCAATCCAATCTAAATATGCCTCTTCAAACAACATGCTTAGCTTTGCCTGTCTTTGATCTCTGCATACGTGTATCATACATAGATGTGCTTTTTGGTCAGGTTCCTTTGGCTCAACATTAAGCTTTTCAGGGGCTGGGGATTTAGCTCAGCGGCAAAAGCGCCTGCCTGGCAAGCGCAAGATCGTGAGTTCGGTTCCCGGTACCGGAGAAAAACAAAAACAAAAACAAAAAAAAAAAAAAAATTAAGCTTTTCAAATGCAGCCAAGTTGTAGGAGATGCACAAGGCAGCACTGTCCATACTGACCCTAAACTGCAAGTCTCATCAGTGCATCAGCACGAACAGAGCAATCCTGAGCCATCTGCTAAGAGACTGTTAAGTCAGCAAGAAATCTCACTCTGTTATAGCCAAGCAGACACACTGTGTTAAATCATGTTCGCAAGACAAACAATAGAGGACTGGATGGCACCATTTGTCACACTAGCTCACCATAGAATGACCTGATGGCTCAGAGGCCCACTCACATAGCTAACTGGCTACACCCAGAGGAGAGACAGCCTCTCTGATCTTGGTGGCAAGAGGTGGGTTAGCAGCCTGCAGCAATGTGCACAAGTCAGGCCTTGCCTCCCCCACAAACAGGGACAGAGGGCTTTTCTACCTACATTTCGAAGAGACAATGGCCAGGTCCTGGAGAAAGGCCTTCCTAGGTCACAGAGCAAACCAAAACCTGGCAAGTTTCCAAAGGATTTAACTACATTCTGAGAGAGGAGAAAGTACTTACAGGTTTTCTAAAGCAAATGCTTTAAGAAAAAAAGGAAGTGAAGAAAATCTCTTATTTTCAACAAGGAAAGCTAAGCCTCTTGTGTTTTTCATTTCTCCTCCACTAGCATATGGTAAAGGTGCTCAATTAATATTGGCTTAGTTAATAATTAACAAGTCCATCTCTTCTCTATTAAAAAGCCCACTTTAAAAAAAAAGTGGTAGAACGTTTCTTTTTAAATTTTTACCATTTACTTGGACACAAATAATAAATACCATAAAGTACTTGAAAGAGGAAAAGGGAGGGGGTGTCAAACCCCAGAGAGTGGCAGGTTTTGGAAAGGGGCGGCTCACCAACCCCGAGAGTCTGCGCCTCGGGCATGGTTTCCTCTCGTTCTTGTTGCTTTGTAGCCTGGGCACACGCATTTGCCCCATATCAAGCCTTGGAGGGGCACAGCGCTGTACGATTTTAGGTGAGCTCATTACTACGGTATACACAGTGCACGCTGTAAACTTTTTCTTAATAGCCCCTTGGGATGGAATTCAAGGCCTCTCATC